AAAAGTAAATAGAGTTAAAAATTGCTTTGCTTATAACTTGGTTAATATTGAAGCTACAGAGGTCTATAATAGCTTGTTTTGAAAAGAAAAATGTATAAAATAATTTGTTCTTAATTTTGAACAGAGGTTAAGACTCTAGTTTAGATGTAAATATCAAAAGAATACTATTTGGCCTAAAAGGCCGTAATTTTGAAAATTTGGGTCCGTTTCTTTTAAAATTTTTATATTATATATAAATTTAGATAAGGAGCAAGTTTTGTTAGAGCAAAGAATTAAGTTATTTTAATAAGATATTATAAAAATAAACTTTTTTGTTAGATGGTTTTGGGAAATTTTTTGTATAAAGGTTTTACAGAAAAAGTTTTTTATATATTAAATATTTAGAAAAATAAGTAACTATAAAAGTAACTTATATAAGTAGTAATAACTATAGTTAAAAATTAAAAAAGTTTACTAATAAGAAGGATTAGATTAATAAAATAGATCAAAAAGAAGAGCTCTAACAAGCCTTCTATAGCTATATATTCTCTGATAAAAATAAGTTATATTACAATCTCTAGACAGAAAATAACTCTGCTATATATTTAACAAAAACAGTAACAAGTTAACTAAAGTTGAATAAAAAGACATTTAAAGTAAATCTAGACTTAACTACAAGACAACTGCAATAGGTAAAAAACTTGTTAGTAGATAATACTTGCATTTTTGCAAAAAAAATTAGTAAAAATAGTTAGATTGTTTGGTTAGAACAAACTAATCTTATTTGTTATAAAATAGAGATAGAAAATACAAATCTATTAAACAACTCTTATATACTATAGCTTATAATAAGCAAAAAATTTTTCAAAAACAAAATCTTTACTATAAAATAAAAACAAGAGATTATTTTCAAAACTAAAAGCTTCTCGACTTCTTAATAGTTTTAGTCTTAAAAAAGTATAATATGAAGAGAATATATATTAACTACAGAAAATTAAACATAGTTATAAAAAAAGATATATATTTCTTATCAAATATTAATAAGATACTGACAAAATTTGAGAGAGCCATATAATTCACTAGCCTTGATTTGGCTAGCAGTTATTAGCAAGTAGTTATTAAAGAAAAAAACAAGAAAAAAACAGTATTTATTACCAGGTTTGGTATCTATATATTAACATAATACTATTTAGATATTGTTGGAATGTAAATTGATGTCCCAGCCAAGTCATGTTTTTTTTATATTTTTTTTTCTATTTATTTAAGTATTTCTTTATTTATTTATTTATTTATATTAGTATAGCCTTACTATACCTGTATATAGTTATTTATTTATATTTTTATCCTGCTTATACCTTTGTTTACGTTTAAGAACTGTGGTAGCTACGTATATGAATATTAGTATATGAGCCATTAGGGCTAGAGTAAACATTAGGATGAGCAGTTGAGGCTAAAGTAAACATTAGGGTAAGCAGTTGGGAGCTGAGGTGTATATTTGGATAAGCCATAGCTTAGTGATATGAGCAGTGTGGCTTCGTGTTACCTTAGAATGGGTTAATCACAAGCGAAGCAACTGCTCACAAAAGGGTAAACAACTACTCACGAAGGAGTAAACAACTGCTCACAGGAGTTTAAGCGACTTACTCCTAGATAGCATTCTTTAGTATAGCCTTCACAAACGAAATTGTATAAATAGAGGCCCTTTTCGTCTTTTCACAAGTGAGAAGTGATGAACAGAGTTATCTATTAAGTTATAAATAAATCGATAATTTATATAAAACATCTTTAGAACTTCCCAAATATAAAGTTACCTTCACTTCGCTTAAGTAATCATTTCTCTCTCGTATTTAATTATCTTTGTATATAAATATATGCTGGGTCTCTTGTTTAACATAAAGGAAGTAAGCTCAGATGCTGAATAAACCTTTTTCTGAATAAATAAGAGCTGTATATTATATAGCTTATATAGTGTAGTACTCTTATGAAGGATAACACTTAAAAATATTAATTATATCAATTAATTATTTATTGATTAACTTAATTACTATGAACATTTATTATTATTAAATTAAATATCAAGTATAGATCACTCTTAAAAATATCATAATAAAACTGATGCCACTCTTATTTCAATCATTCCTTAGTAACTATAATTATTATCTCTTTTGATCAATTACCCTTAAACTGATTATAATTCATATATAAATTCATACTGATAATTCTTACCCTTATAGTAAATATATTATTAAACCCAATATCACATTAACTATTGAAGCTAAACTGTGCAACTTTATTCGCTCTCCCTATTTATAATAGTAATATTTGGTGTCAGTTGTGTGGATTAACTGAACTATTCCCCATTGAAGTAGAATTTTTAAATTAGAAAAACATTAAGAAGCAGAGAAGAAGTATAAAAATGGCCCAACAACCTCTACCACAAAACATTCCACCTCCCAAAACCCGCAAAACCTCAACCCTATGCATAATCTGGCAAACCAAATTGCTCAATTGGTTCAACAGATGCAAGTTGTACAACCACCACAAATAAACCTCCCAGCCGTCCATAGGGAATTAAATTTAGTTCCCTATTCCGAATTCTTGGGAGGAGACCAAGATCTGATTTCTTGGTTAGAGGACGTAGAAAAAGCTTTCGAGGCTAATCGGATTAACGATGCTAGAAAAATACCCGTAATTGTTCCTAAATTGAGAGGATTGGTGTCTACTTGGTGGGAAACTATCAAAGCCCAAGTCCCGATAATCGACTGATGGAGCGATAACGCAAACGCAGCTCAAAGTTTTAAAGCCAACTTCACCACTAAATTTCGAACCCCTGAATTAGAAGGCAAGTGGTTTGCTCAGCTTACCTAACGGAAACAACTTGCCGGAGAAACCGTCGATTCCTATTACGTAGCCATAGAGGAGATGATTAGGAGAGTAGAGGCTGGAGATCACCAGTATTCTGATTCGGCTAAAGCCCAAATGTTTATAAATGGGCTGAGGTCCGAGTTATATATGGCCGTTTCTCCATTTACCCCGAATACGTTACAAGCCACATACAATAGAGCTAAAGCATTTGAAAATGCTTATAAACAAAATCCTACGTATGCCGCGTTCCTAGGTCAAACTGTGGGTTACCCATTCCAAGTAGCCCAACACCAGCATAATCCGATTCAAGTTCCCACCTCCCTTCCGAATGGAACCAAAACCGTGATTAATAGACTTACCGAAGCCGTTAATAAAATGATGATCCAAATTCAGGATCAGCGATGGCCTTCTAGAAGTTATCAATCCAACCTGAGGAATCCAAACCTGAATCCCATAGTTTGTTATAACTGTGGGCACCCAGGACATATAAGCCGAAATTGTACAACATCTTGCCAACTCCTGATTGCTGCTAATCTGCCCGTACATCTCCCGAACGATGCTAATTTACAAGAAGCATTATTGGCGTTAATGAACTTGCTTCAGCAAACAACCCAACCCGAAGTCTCTGAAGAACGTCCAGCATATCTAGGATTTACCACCGAAGATACTTCTATATTCGCCCTGCAGAAATAGAGATAAGAAAGAACAATCTGATAGAAACCCGTACTAAGAAATGGAAGGTAGAAGAAGGGAAAGCAGTATTAGTAGAAAAAATAATAGAAAACCATGAAAGCTAAGAACCACAACCCACCTTAGTTAAGCGTAATCCACACGAAAAAAAAAAGAAGAGACCCGCCCCAATTAGAAAGAAAAAACTAGAGGACGATACCCCACAAATATCGTCTCTAGTCTCCCCGTATTCAATAGTTACCGAAATCAGAGATAAACCGGCCAATATTACTTTTGGGCAGTTGTTCAAAGCTGCCCCTTCTATGAGGACTGATTTAATCCGATCCCTACAAAAGAAGAAGATTATTAGAAGAAAATTAAAAAGCAATGTGAACCTACAAAATACCCAGAAGTCAACTGCCCTTTATTGCGATGCGAAGGTCCAGGAGAAAGTAATCCTAATGATAGTTGATAGTAAATCTTCGGGAAGTGTAGTGTCATCCTACCTCCTAAAGGAGTTAGGGATAAAAATCGACCGCCCCTCCACCGTTAATATGATTAACGTCCATGGAGAAAGCAAAAGAGCTATAGATGAAATAGCCAACTTCCCCTTTGTTGTAGGAGGAATAAAAATTCTGATAGACGTCATCGTCACCGATGCCAATTCCTATAATGCATTAGTAGGTAACAATTGGTTATCGAAGGTGAGCGCGTTAATTGACTGGAACAATTGTGAAATGACACTCACATAGGATGAAAAAGAAGTCACGGTGCCCGTAGAATTCAGGAAGGTCACCCCGAAACCGCTTGAAGTCGAAAGACCTACAAAGATAAACCAGAAAGAAAATGAAGTTAGTGAAGAAGAGGAAGAAGAAAAAACTGATGAGGAAGAAGAGACGAAGAGGAATTTGAAGAGGAAGAGTTAGAAGATAGGATTTATAGATTTTGGAGGTAGAAGAACAAGACGAAAGTTCTGAGGAAGATGATAAGGATGAAGGGTACGAAAACCTCAACCCGAATAATCTAGAAGAAGGAGAAGCCTGGTGGAATTTGAATAGCGATGACGATTATTTACCGGAGAATCATCACGATTGGAATCAAGAAGAAGAGTACCATTATGAAGCAGGATCGTTGAATAATGAATAGGATGAAGAACCGCGTGTCGATGAATTCCCAGAATTAACTCTGTCAGATCTGGCCGTAGAGGAATACGAAGAAATCACCGATCTCTTCGACTTTTATTTCGACGAAGAAGAGAGTCCGGTTGCGATATATAATGTCGAGACTCTTCTTAAAGACCAAGAAGAGAAAATAGAAGTGCTCTTGGATAAAAATCCAGATCTCTTCGCTAAGAGTCTCTGAGCTTGGTTGAACCAATAAGTGTCGCCACCAGATAATCACCGCGGATGCCCTACCAATTAAGCAAAGGCCATATCATCACTCAATAAGAGAAAAGGAGTTCCTTAAGGAAGAGTTAAAAATGATAGAAAAAGAAGGAGTAATCTGAGTTTCCTGTAGCCCCTGGTCCTCTCCGGTAGTCTTAGTAAAACAGGGAGAAAAGAAAACCCATATCTGTATAGACTACCGGAAGCTTAATGCCATTACGAAGAAGGACAATTATCTGCTTCCTAGAATCGATGATCTCTTAGATACCTTGAAGGAATCCTGCTGGTATACTTCTTTAGACCTCGCTAGTGGGTACTGGCAGGTAGAGATGGCAGAAGAAGATAAAGAAACGACAGCTTTTGTAATGCCCGAAGGGATCTATGAGTTCAATGTGATGCCCTTCGAATTAGCTAATGCCCCCGCCACCTTTCAATGCTTAATGGACAAAATTTTTCACGATATTATAGGAAAATTTATTGTTATATATCTCGACGATATAAATGTCTTCTCCAAAACCTTCGACGAACATCTCCTCCACCTCCATGAAGTTTTCAGGTGTTTACGGGAAGCCGGTCTTAAATTAAAACCCCAGAAATGCTTCTTTGGGAAGTGCCAATTAAAATTCTTGGGGTATATCGTAAATGCCGGAGGAATTTCAACCGATTCGCAGAAGATAAAAGCCGTACAAGATTTTCCAACACCCTGTAACATAAGACAACTACGAGGATTCCTGAGACTCGCCTCCTATTATCAGAAATTCATCCAGGGATTCACCGATATCGCCACACCCCTAAACTTATTATTAAAGAAATATAAGTATTGTAAGTGGGGTCCCGAACAAGAAAAGGCTTTTAAAGAATTAAAAATAAAACTTACT